GAGACGCGGCGGATCTTGAAACACACATTACATTAAGACTTGAAATAAGTTGCCGTGAAACTCTGAAGCGAAAGGTCACGAATTAAAACATGGATTTTACATAACATTTTCGAACTACTGCACGATTTATGAAAATGTGGCGTGATCGTACAAAAATTTCTCTCGCAGAAAACGTATTATATTACGAAATAAAAAATTCGCAAACGCTCCTATACTTTTTATGTTAAAGAATTTACTGTCCAAATTTAAGGCGAACGAACACTTTCCCTTTGACTTGTAGCTTTCAAAAGGTGACTCGCATCAAAGAGAAAAAAATTGCGTAAAAAAATAAAAAATTAATTTATCGGACTTTAAACAATACTTTTGTAACCAGTGCCCATACGGCTTCATTCTGGGCGAGTTTAAAGAAACTCCATTTTTTTTTTTTTTTTTTTTGCTTTTCTAAGCTTAGTTGATATTTAGGCGAAGCTGTCCTTAAGCATTTTTTACAGTATTAAATCAGTACGTAAAGCAGAATATAAAATGTCAAAACAACTGTGCAGTATTTCTTCAGAAGTGGATTAGTTGTAGAAACTCTGGGGGAATATATACTTGGACAAATTATTGGGTGCCAAAAACAATAAATGCAAACCAGAATGCGCTCACAACTGTTACTGCGACTGAAGAGTAACCATACCCTAAAAGAAACACGGGACCATTACAGGTCAACATTGACTCAAAAGTCCTTACTGCTAATGAACTGCGTTTTTATCACAAAAGATTTTCTGTATTTGTTAATAGGTTCCTGTTGATACAACGTTTAACCAGCAGTTAGGTTGAAATGTGTTGAGGAGAAATCATTTCGTCCCTGGCTTATAAAGAAATAATGGATCGATTATTGTAATGGCAAAAATTTCACTCTATAAAGCTGATTGGTAAATTTATTTCAAACGGCTTAGGCGGAAAGCTACTCAAACAGCTATCGGGCAAAATGTAAAAAATTCGAAAATCAAGTCTTGTCAAAAACCTCAATTCCTCAAAATCCAGTGAAGTTCGATGACGTTGCTTGAAATCAATTCATATGCAAAGAGAAACATATATAAAACGCCAATCTAAAAACATCATAAAAAAAGTTATTCTCCCAAATATTAAAAACAGCACCTGCTAGGTGTTGGACCATCTCCGAGTGGAATAATCGTCAGCTGTACTCTCAGCGCTGTTGCTCGAGGAGCTAAGGAAGTCATTAAAGTTATTTAAAATTCAAAAATCACACAATTATGTCAGGGAACTAACGAGACGGAGTTCACCTTAATGTGAAAATTTTGCTTTATATTAATATACCGTGTACAGCAGGCACAGTGCTTCCAGCGGTCATCAAAACGAAATGAAATTAAAGCTGCTGGGCCAGCTATTGAGGATGGAGCATCTGACATTTGTGGAGGGGTTGGGTGATTTGATACAGGCACTAATTTTTTTTACCCTTTCACGCACTAGAAAACTTTTTTCTCGGGACGTGTGTACATGATATTTTTTTCTCCGTGTAATATTCTTTTTTGCGGCTCACTGCTATTGCGTGAACTTTTTCTTCGACGGTGGTCGTGTACATGAATTTTCATGGTTCAAATATGCTTGCAGGATATTTTTCCAAAATAACTCTCCTCCCCTCCCCCCTCAAAAGTAAAATGGTCCACCTATAAGGTAGCACAGTTCAATACAGAACAAGAGACTAACCAGTCGTCTGAAAGTGGTGTGTTTGTGTGTGTGCGTACGTTTGGTAAAAAGACAACTTAAGAGAGAGGCTTTAGGTGGAAGAAAACTACCATAGAGGGGAGTTTCTCTCACTCTCTCTCAAGAATAGAATAGGATAGAATTCTTGCCGAATTTTTTTGCTGTGATACGCGAATCATTTTTATCCGAGGCGTGCATATATTTTCCTCGTATTAGTACTCATTTATACCACAAAAAATGTTTGGCATGGGTCCGATTTGCCGAAAAAAAAGTGGCTCGACAGGAAAACGTTTTGTTCTATTAATGCCTTCTTTATTCGTGCTGAGACGAAATTTCACCCGTGCTCGAACCCACTGGCTAAATATTTTGAGCACAAGTGAAATTCTGGCTCGGCGAAGGAGAGCCGGTTAAAAAAAAAAGAATTTATCCGTGCCGAACCTTTATTGGGACCCGTACCATCTTTATTCAAACCTTGCCAAAAAAAAATTATTGCCGCGTAAGTGAGCTTTCAGAATGAGCCTTTAGAAAAATTGACAGTCCGCGCGTTTTATTAAAACTTCAAATTAGAATCATCGAGAACTTAGTAATTTCTACAAACATTACTAAACGATGTTTAACTATGCAATAAAATATTCAAGTCAGGTTTCGACATAACTTATTGCAGCTGGTGCAAGCTGCTTACGCTTATTAACAGGCCGCGCGCCCGACTGCACGCAACTCAATACAAGATTATCACACAATCTGAGAAAACAGCAATCTCTCACAGGAGTACTAACGATTAATTCTGTCATTTACCAAAAATATCAGCGTTGTTGATAAAATATCTTTATCATTCTCGTGTTATATATATTTTCTATTTCGTTTCGAGGAAGTCTTAATTTCTCTTTTAGTGGTGTCTTAAAAATTACTGGTGAAGAGAAAGTGAAAGTGAAACTACGAGACCACGGGAAGGTGAGTGTACCAAAAAAACATCTACTTTTAAGATACGCAAAAAAGATTAAAGCAAATGAGAAAGGTAAATAATTCCAGTAAATTGAAGTTAAGAATTGCTTAACTATTTTACTTGTCGTGATATCGGTATAAAAAAGGAATAAATCGCATGAAAAATTTCGTTTCAATGACCATTAGACATATACAAGGTGTATAAAAAATGAGAAGGAAAAAATGTCTATGATAAGAAGTAATGACAAGGAAATCTAAAAATCCCATTCCATGATTACTCTCCATTCAGTTCAGTGAGTTAAATATCTTAAAATATTAAAAGTAACCCTTATGACAGATATTAATCCTAGAATGAGAGAGTTAAAGAAATATTTCTTTTATTATTTTTTTCACTGTGTTTAAGTGTTTAGTACAGCAAAATTTCAATTTACGGCTTCAATCTTCTCAGTCTAGCGAGGAATATCTCCTAACACGGGCGAAAAGTGATAGAGATTTACACCGAGATAAAATCTTTGCTGAGTGGACGTTTAAATTATCACATGGCGTGATATTGCAGACAAAAAGGAATAGTAAAAAAATGTTGCTAAAATATGATACATTGCTTTTTTTCAAGTTGTTGGGGTTGTACGAGATCAGCGGGTACTGATTTTTTTTTTGAAGTTTTATAATTGATAGCTGGTATAACTAGGGTCGAGCAGCCGTTTAAGATCTTCGAAAAATTAACAAATCATTGTCACACAGTGGCTGTCATAGTCGAGAATTTTTGTAGTTCAGTGTTTAACAAAGAGAAACGCTTCACTCGTTAGCGCAGATCACAGAGATGTTTAAATTGCGCATAGATGGAGAATATTGCTTCTGTTTATCGTTATGTTAAAGTTTAGAGAGCCAATTAGATTAGGTAGGAAAAAATGCATTCATTCTAAACAAATAGCCAGAGATCATGTTGTTGCAAGAGATGTTGATCTACTGGTTCTGGCTAAATATGAGTGCTTGCTCTGAAAAATAGCAAATCTTAGTCTGGCTTTGTTTCTTTGGATTAGCGAGATAGTCAATCCAACATGGCATGTTTACAGCAACTTGTTCACTGTTTTTACGTCAACTCAAGGCATCAATCATTTTGCAAAACACCTGTCTAGAATAGCGCTCTCTTTAAGCTGTTGGTATATGGTAATCAGTTGGAAGAGGGCGTGAGACTTATTGTAAACGTTTTCCAACACTGTTGTTCATAAACATGATCCTGAGATCTGCTGCTTTTATCCTTATCAACACTTACTAAAGAGGAACGAAATATTTACTATACTATTATTCATTCCTACTCTGAAAATTTCCTTATTTTTCAAATATTTTTTTCGCGACTACAGAGCCCATCTTCATATGCTGTCAATTCATTCTAGAAACAACCGCTAATTTCATTATGACCTATCAACTAAGTCAAGGATTATTATTTCAACCCGCGAAAAATGCATTGCCTCAGCAGAATGATTCTCTTTTCCTTAATGCTTACTTCGGATGTTGTAAACGTATAGAAATAAGGACAAAAAAAATGCGATTTGTAAATGTAACTGCTTATTTTATATCAAATGTTACTTAAAATCTACGTCGAACACATTTTTTGAAGCATTTATCAATAGTGTTATTATAACCATCATCATCATCATCAAAAATACAAAAAAAAATTACAATATTTAGAGAGGAAGCCACATTAGTCTTAACTGGTTTTCATTCGGGTCCTCTATTCTGGTCGAATTGGAATTTGGAGATGTTGGTTTTTGTGGAGGGAGGAAAACCGGAGAGCCCGGAGAAAAATCCTCGGAGCAAGACGAGAACCAACAATCATCAGGCGTGTGTTAGACAACACACCAACCATTTGCAAAATATGAAATACTAAACCATAACATATGCAACGATAAAATATGTTAGTTAAGAACCTTTCGCTTACTCATTTATTCAAGCAAAACAGGAAACAAGAAGCAATTTAGAGGGAATCATCTACAACTTGACTCGCAGCGTAATAACCTTTAAACTGTAAGTGCACTAACTCAAAAATAAACTCCAGATAACTAACCTTTGTCAGATCGTGAAACTCCACAAGATTATCACCTAGTTCACTCCACACGCATCAGTCAGCAAATCAGACAACTCGAGTTGACCATGGAAAAACGTGATCGATTTGTTTACTTTATAACACAACATAGAAAATTTACTGGAGAAATCCAGGGACACAATTACGAAATCGTGCGCGTGTGGCATCTCGCGAGATCACGTTTATAAAGCGGTTTCTAGGAAATTTTGCCCATATGGCAAACTCGAAAATGTCGCTATTTTACAATAAATGTAAACCGAAGAAGGTTTAAGAATAGGAACAGCGCACGTCGAATAAACCGAGAACATGGAACATTCTGGAACACGCCAGAACATGCAGGGATTCCAAATAAGATATTGAAACTATGTATAACGGAGGAGACCCAATAGACGTAAATACAGTGCTACCCTTTCCAACGAATAATAAAGCTAACCGCAAGCAAAAAGGACAGGAACTAGCACAAGTAAAACAGAAAAGAAAAAAAAGCAGGTGTTAATAGTTAGTTAACTATTGCAGGTAAACTGTGGTTCAAAAGATGATGATCTACATTGCTTCATCAAATATCTACATTTCTTCATTAAAGACTTCGTGTTTTTGGAGTGATCCTGGATGTTCCGGAAAGCTCCTGTTCCTGATTTTATCGACATCCTTGAAATGACAGACTTACACTAGCTTTCATCAAACCGGACTTGGTGTTTGGGTAGTGATTCTATGTTCTTTCATATAACAAGCCAAATTATTCTCGCGGTTTGATTGATACTTACCAATGATCAATTGGAGGAGAGACGTATATTTCATTTCATTACTCTATCACAAAACAAACGAATTCCACGTTGCCTTGCGTCTGTTCAGTTATATTGATCACAGATGACGTCAAAGTCATCAGTGGCAAACTCGGTTATCGGTTACCACAATTTGCACACCATGCAGCCACTAAGATGATAACTCCAAGTCATAGACTGAATTTAATCTTTTTTCAGTTTTAAAATATGACTAATTGGACATATCACTCTCTCCCTACTGTTGCAGACCAAGAAAATGCTGTGGAGTGTTCCATGTTTGTTTCCCTTCGCCGGCTTCCTTATAAACTGTGTATCTGCTGGTGAGCAATGCAGAGAGGAACGGAGCATAAATGGGATGGCTCTACAGGGATTCATCTTCAAAAAGTTCTTCGTTAGAGCTCTTCAAGAGTGTGATATCAGCTGTGAAACAGAAATCACCTGTCAAAGCTATAACTACGTCATGGGGGAAAATTCGTGCGAACTGAATAACCGCACCAAGGAGGCAAGACCGGAAAACTTCCGCTCAGACCCGGCGCGGTTTTACAAAAGACGCCTGACCGACAGGGGTATGTATAAACTTATTACTATATGAAATTCTCCGGCCAGCTAGACACTCTAAAAGTTTTTACTCTGGATTCGTACCGCAATATCAAATTGTACTTTACAAGTAAGCCGATTGAACACACGCAAAAAAAAAATAAAAGATTCAGGACAAGAGTTAGGCTTAGATAAAATCTTACTTTTCAAATTGCTTCGTTGAGTATCCTCTTTCTCCAATTGCATGTTGTTTGGCCTCAGCTTCGAAGTTCTGTTTGCGACAATTCTTGGTTTTTTCAACATCTGAGTTTTTCGTCTCAGCATTATAGTTTGTTTTTAGTCCGCAGCCATAGCTTTTTGTCAGTGTTTTCGTATTTTGAACTCGTACATGGCTAATTTGTTGTCTCGGGAGAACCACCATGAACTTTGCTTATTTGGCAGGGATTCAAGCAATATAATTCGTGGACCGACCCACTCTGAAAACGATCGACATTATCTTCAAAACTCACTTCACAAAACACAGCATTATGTATATTACTTTGCTCACGAAGAGCGACCACACTATAAAGCAGCTAGTCGGGAGGACCTTCTTCCCTCTGTGACATTTCGGGGCCTTTTGTATAAATTAACAATGAATGACACCGCATAGGCTCACCTGATATATGGTTAAACCACTTATGTGTGCTTGCGGCTAGTTGCATCCCGGTGTGCTCGCGGTTAGTTCCATTCGGGTTTGCTTGCGTTTAGCTTTCATTTTTTGGGTTTGGATGACACTGTATTGCATATACTTAGGCTTGTGGAATCTATAGTTACAAAATTCAACATCTTTCGGCTGGCCCCTCGATGGTGTAGAGGTTAAGTGAACGTATTTTAAATCGAGTGTTCCAGGTTCGAATCCCAATGTCCGTGTGTTGAGATTTCTTTATTTTTCCGGCTTTTTTTAAATTTAAAAAGTAAACTTTTTTTGTTTCTGCTGAAAACTGAATTCGGCGATCGTAGCAATCGGTCACGAAATGTCACAGAAAAAAGAAAGGCCTTCTCGCCCATCCCCTTCAAGCGACTACCGTTAAAAGCAAGGTGTCGCATTCTCATTCCCAGTTTCCACGCTCAACGCTTGAAACGCTTGGGACTATGACCCCCATTTGGCGACCAAATACGACGACGTCGACGAAGAAGAACAGCTTTCACTTTATGACTCGGGCTTTCCGTAGAAAGCCCGATTAATTAAATGTTGTATTCTTGAGGGTTTTGATGTTCGAAAAGGATCTTTGATAGCTTTGATTTGGGAATGCCGAATCATATATAAAATTTGTTGTTTCTCTCGAGCTCATCTCCGATTTTTCTCCATAATTCACTTTAGTTTATAACGAAATATAAATTAAACAAATCTTTTTTTTGAAATAGCTCCACTGGGTTCCGGTCCGGAGCTCCCAGCACATTCGTGTCAGGAAATAAAAGCAAGCGAAGGACAAGATACCATTAGCAACAAGTACTGGCTGGATCCAACTGCGAATGGAACAGCAGTTTTGGTTTATTGTGACATGGACTTAGAAGGTTATTGACAATCAGCTGTCATGTTTGAATATAACTTGTGTTTTGTTTCTCTTTATTCTTTCTTTGAGAACGTTTTCTAAACCATTTGTTCTCTAGATGTCGATGAATGCATCACGGGGAACCATGACTGTGACGTGAATGCAAACTGCACCAACACTGTTGGCGGACATAACTGTACTTGTAAGGAAGGATTTGCTGGAGATGGTCGCTCGTGTTTAGGTAAACTGTCTTTGAGCGTCTTTTCGTCTGCATCAACCTTTGTAACTGAGAACATACCGGCCTGTTGGAAGTCTGTGAAAACAAGAAGTGGTTCTAACCAATATATGCATCGGCCGTTTAGTGGCTAAAACACTCGTTTCAGTTTGCACACATAATCATTACCTAACAAATTCCAGACTCTGATTGATTCTAAGCATGGTTACTTTTCACCCCAGTGTCCAGAATTTGCGTTCCGCGCACCCATGATTTGGTTTCTGCTAGCTTGCGAGCAAGCTCACGTTTGGGGAGCACACGCCTCTGCGCCAGACTCCCCCATACCGGATCGCTTCTTTCGTCGACTCGCTCTTCAGTCGCTCGTATGACTCAAAGGTCAGCCTGCTAACAGGCTAGATTCCTGCTTTTATCTACTCTTAAATCCCAAAACCTTTCAGGACTGGCCTTTTCTCGGTGAATAAAAATTCCAGCTAGCCTTCCAGGAACAAACCACATTTAGTTTCCAGCTTGGTTTTAAGACGTGTTCGTTTCTTTTTTCCCGCTAGCTTACAAGAACTGCTCTGAGATCTACAAATCTGGTGAAAGAAAAGACGGTGTGTACGCCATTAAACCTGACAATCTGTCTGCCTTTGATGTGTTTTGTGACCAAACAACAGCAGGTGGGGGGTGGACAATGTTCCAGAAGAGACTGGACGGTTCGGTGGATTTCTACCTTAACTGGAGCGATTACAAACTTGGGTTCGGTAGTCTGAGAAGTGAATTTTGGCTCGGACTGGACAAAATTCACCGCCTGACCGCAGATGATAACAGCATGCTGCGTGTGGACTTGGAAGACTTTGAAGGGAATACAGCTCATGCCGAGTATAACAAGTTCGGTGTTATGGGTGAGAGTGACAAGTACAAGCTGATCCTCGGCTCTTACTCAGGTAGGAAGGTTTTTCTCTTTCATCTTGCACTGCACAAACTGTACAAGCTGGCAACCGAAAAAATACTTATCACGGTGCAAGTTGAGATTAAAAGTTATTTTAATTTCAATCTTTAGGTACATCTACATAAATGACTTCGAACCGTACAAGAACAATAAAAGGTGGCTTTGTTCCTTTCTATTTCAAATTCACCTTGCTGACGGGATGTTAGCTGCGGGGCTAGTATATTTATTTTTATAACTATTATATAAACGGTTATTCATTTCTGATTTTTTTTTTGTCCTAGGAACAGCTGGTGATTCTCTCTCAGTTCATCGTGGTGAATCGTTTTCAACTCGAGACCAAGATAACGATGCAGCTCACAACAGGGACTGCGCCGTGGAGTATCAAGGAGCCTGGTGGTACAACACTTGTCGCCACTCAAACCTGAATGGCATGTATCGTGACGGTGGAGCCTCTCCACTCCAGGATGGTGTCACCTGGTACCACTGGAAGGGGCATCAATACTCCCTGAAGAAGACCGAGATGAAAATAAGACCAGTAGATTTCTGATTTTCTTCTACATCTACATTCTTAACTTGCAACATCCTATCAGGACGGTTTGCAAGTAATATAAAAAGAAAATGAGGAAATAAATATACAACTAGGTGATGTAAGCTAATGTATCAGATACGAGAGACCGTGTCTTACCATTTTCTGTTTACGTGATATAGCTATTAAACTAAGATGCCCTGATGAAGGACTAATGTGCTTATGCTACAGTGATTTTAAAATTTACCTATGTCAACTTCACTGGTATCAACATTAAGAGTCGTCAACTCGTCTGTCGACGGAAAAACTAATGAAAAAAATAATCGTTTAATCCTCGGAAGGTCTACACTGCCTAAGCTCCATTTTCGTGTATGAACCCGAAGAAGATACGTGGTCGTGGTCATGGTCTGATGGTGACTCGAGCCATAGGATTGATGATCACCTAAACAATCATTTAAAAAATCTTGAGTATTGACAATTTATTTATTAACCATATGTAAGAAACATATTTCTCGCTATCATACTATATACTTGAAGTTATTAAAAACTGGATCATTGGACAATGCAATTCAAGAGTTTTCACTGGAATCATGGTACATATAAGCAAAAGCCTCTATGTGGCGCGAAATAAGCCCGGGTATTTGATTGCGGACATTATCTGTTCCGAGAAGCGAACTTTTTTTTTCGAGAGTTATCTCAAGGAAAACTGTGAGCTTCGGGGGCCAGATAATGATGTCCTAGGACAAATATCTGAGCATATTTTCGCGCTAAATGGAGGCAAATTGTGTTTTCATCCTTCAAATATTTGTCACAACACGCGGGATATTTTGAAAATTGGGAGATATCACTCAGAATTCACATTTGGTTCTTTACAAACAATTGAGGTTGTGTTTCTTATTTGTGAAAGAAATCGAAGGAACAAATATGTTGCAATAACTGTAATATCCTGGCCCCTCGTCGCGATCGACATTGTATCCCTTTTTTGCAAGTCGGGTAGACTACAAATATCTTCGGCGGTTTCGGACATTTAATTTGTTCTCATCAATCAAAGTTATATTAGCTCTATTTTTGGTTGAAAACTCACCTGATGGGCGATTACTCCAAAGAAGGCGTGTGCCACCCAAGCAACTTCTTTGAAAACTTATCAGTAACAGATTGAATGTTAAAACTAAAAATATTGACAGAAATTTATTGGTTCTGTAGTGTGCAGCTTTCCCATTCTCGTCCTCAGCGCTACTTCTTATTCGTTTTCCCTCTGAAAGCTTTCATGACCCGACTCCGAATATTTTTACTTCTGCGGTGTGTTTTTACGTAGCCTCCAAACTGTAAAATGAGCTAAAACCTCACATTTCTAGCAAGGGGATGTAAGCTTGAGCCAGGTTCTGTTTCGCGAAATCTTGTCCCGAGTAATCAGCCAATCAAATTCTAGGATTAAGGATTCCACACTGCTGACGAGCTTGAGAAAGAAATATATATCAATTATATGGCAAGGTAGTCTCAAGATGAATCATGGCGTTCTAATTGGTTCTTCCTTGGTCGGAATTTTGCCGTACGGACCGTTTACGTAAGTCGTGTATTTTTTTTGTTTTCGAATACCATAAAATAATCTACTCACTAACTAAGCTTGTTGAAGCCGCACTGGGGAGTATTGGCCCTGGTTCGTTTCTGTACGGACCTCGCTGCGCTCCGTCCATACTACCACGACTTCGGGCCAATATTCCCCAGTGCGGCCCTCGTGCTCGGTTAGTAAGAGGTTAATATTTACACAGAACCTTGTCGATTGACCTTGGTATGAGTAGTCATACTAAATATCCTGCCGATACATAATAAAAACGTGTTTAGGTAGCTCCTGGGGTTTGAATGAAATTTGGATATAGTATAAGTACAAAGAACATGGACTTTGCCTTATTGTTACAGAAGATAGCCTGAATTCCAGGCGTCTCCTCTGGTCGCCTAATCCTGAGAAAAAGCTTCTCTCGGGAGCAAGAGGCCGGAGAAAACGGCTGATATGTATTTACAGAACGAGGCTTTCTCACGCATCAATACAACGGAACGTTCTGGAGTTGTAACAAAATTTCAATTGCAAGCATCTAATGACCTTTATTTTGACGGAGATGTTCCCGACAAAAGAACAGCAACTTCTCGCGGTCGTTAAACCCCTTGGTGCGCTACAAATTGAGATGCGATAGAGACCCCCTCAAGAGACGAAAATACAAATGTACAACGAAGCCAGTATGACTGACAAATTGCACCAGCCTCTCATTTCATAGAATGGGGAAAAGTCTAAATTGAATCATAGCAATTAAGTAATAGAAGGAACTGCATCAATTTTCCTAATTTCACATCGTTTTGTTACCAATCAATTCTACATGAAAATTAAGGTAAACCGCGTCATTTTCATATGTTGAATCTTTAATCAAGCAAAACAATAACACAAAGTCGTATGATGTAGGAACGGGAGCTTCTGTTAAAGCTCTATTGAAATAAATCCACCTGAAAAAAAAACCAGCAAATATAAGCACTTGGTATATACATAGATTTAAAAACAATAATATAATTTTGGTTTAATTTTGATGCAGTATGTCAATAGAGGATTATTACCATTCAAGCTAAGAAACTTTAATAACACAAACTCTCACGAATTTGCCATCATTCCCTTTGCTTTGACGATACAGCGTTGAATTTTGGTTTAAAATACTGACATTCAAAAGCGAGTTTAAAACTGGCAGTTAAAACTCCATAATTATTCAAACAAGCATTTCATAAATATCGGTGATTATATGCAGTTGGCACAATTATTATCGCAGTTGGCACAATTATTAACAAGAAGATTTCTTAGTCAACATATGCTCTTGCCGAGTTATCATAGTAATCAATAATCAGTTTTTCAATTGCCTGACTTAAAATAACTTTTTCTCTCGAAAATTTGCAGACATTTAAAATAGCTTTCCATCAGAACTTCCATGGGTGGTTTGGATGTCTCTTGTGGCAATTTCAAAATACTAATTGATGCCAAGTATTGAATGAGGCGTCGTGTTATTTTGGCTTATACTGTAAACTCTCCCACTGGCACTGCCGGTTATGTCGTTAATTCATTGTCACTGTTCCAGACCGTTTTGGAGCTTTATAGCGATCGACAGTGAAATATAAAGATACCTCGTCGTTGAACGGAGCACAAACATTAAGCTGATTTGGATTCTGTGGTGAGAAACTCTCTTTGATGTATAACACCTAGATTTTTTATTTTATTGTTTGAAAAGAATGCTTATTAATTTGTTGAAATATCATCTACATATATTTTTTCAGTCAGAGTTGGTTTTGAAAATGCAACTCAGTTTCTTTGCCATGATTTAATATTTGGTAAATAGCTTCAAGAGCTTTTCACATTTCCGAGGCTTGGTTTCTATCCGTTATTTGAGTTCACAAATAGTCAATTGCATTTTTAAGAAACGCTTATCAAATACCCGGCATTTAAATATCTAATAATGGTGGTTGCTTATGAAACTGCTTAGTCCTGATCAGGCCTTAAAATGGTTGTAAATTGCACCAGTGTTGTCTATTCGTATTCACTTGTGATACTCAGAGTTACTGACTGTAAGCAACGTTTGAAATTATCTCAAAACTATTGACTGAGCCAGCAAACCGAGAAAGAAATTGTTAATAGTGAGAGAACATTGTTACAAGTTAAATTAATTATACAAAGGATGTGTGTTTCAATCATGAAATTTCTAGAGCGGTCAAAAATTGTGCACGTATCGCGTCTGCCAGCTACCAGATGCATAAAATTGGCTAGCCGTGTGGTAAATCTTGATTTTATAATATGAAAGATAGTATTCTTGAAAGGTGAAGTTTCAGCTAATGGTTTAATATATTTTCGGGTTGATAATGAAACCAATTCCACGTGCCTACGAGTAGGTGTCGAGATGATTTCCGCAGATATTCGAGCAATAGTGGCAAAAATTAAGTTACCAAACATACCTCACAGCATGGTAATATTTTGAACGCAGTAAAGAAGAACTAAAGCTCTCAAGCTGACCCCGCGAGAGAAGATTGAACTTGAAGTTACACATATTTCAATTAAAACAGACGTTTCGCGTTAGTTAAAAAACACAATAACACACGCTTTAAGCATTCGTACGAGGTTTGGCTTTAACTTTTTCGAGAACGCTTGAGAATTTAATCACGGAGTCACTTAGAGAAATTAACTAAAGTGAATTGTTTTAAATAGTATTCCAAAAGTTACCTTGCCATGAGTAGATTTTTAGTAAATGATTTTTGCACTTATTGCTCGAACTTTGAGCGGAATCCGTCTTAATAACTGTACCCACGTGATTTCCACTTAGATAAGAGTGATTCTCCCACTAATGATATTCAGAAGGCAACACGAAAGTCCATATTCAGATGATGCATGAGTGAATAAGGATGAAAGAAAGTGATCTCACACTCTGTTAAACTACAGTGATCAGTTTTAACACCTGGTGAGTGTATGAAAGCTTACTGTTCACAGGTAATACTTTGTTTGTTCCATTTTTCCTTAGTGAAAATTCTTTACTTTCTCAATAGAATTGTGTTCTCATATAATTGCCATTTTCGAGACAAATCTCGCAATTTCTGTCATGTCCCAAAACGGACAGCTAAATAGGAAATAGAAAATCGGCAATCTCTACACTGTCAAACTTTCAGCGGAAGCACACTCACTGACGGAAATTATTTTTAGCCTCTTAAAAGTCAGTAAAGTGGACAAAAATAATACATACACTCTAACCGTATATTTCCCATTTACGAACACCAAGCTTAGTGGGTTTCGCATTTAAGAAATTTCGAAAACAAACGTAACCGAATTTTTCCATATTTGGCTTCCGTTGGCTTATCATCTTAACTGTACTTTTCAACTATAGATTTGAATTTTGGCACAACTGGCAACTGGAAAAGTCGTAAAGACCACTTTGGTTGCAAACCAGGGAATCATTCTGTTCAGCCACTGAGTGAAAAGTTCCTCACATCGTTCATCCTCAAGATATTTTGTGTTTAAGAAACTTCGTCTTATCCCCGTTGTTCCTGGAAACAATGCCAAAAAATTGTCATGTTTGAATAAACAATGGTTTTCCAATACTTTGTCACCCTGCGTGAAAATGTAGACAAAAAGTTCGTGCAAACCAGGGGAAAAAAACGAGCGCCTTAAGTTAGGCCTGAAAAGAAGAACCTCTCTGAAAAATAATATCAGATCTAAGTTTATTCCAGGACTTTCGATTTCACTGTAGAGAGACTTTCAGTGTGAGTAACAGCAAAAACTTTATCCCTCCGCCGACATAGAGACCAAAATATCATAAATAAAAAAGCACCGCGCTGTCAAAATTTGACAGTTTTCCAGAAATGCTTCTGATAAGAGCATCAAATTAAATTTCACTGGCAATTNTTTTTTTTTTTTTTTTTTTCATTACAAATTTATTGGCGATGGAATCCGAGTATTTTACTAACATCTGTTGCTATCTGGTATTTCACACCCTTTCGGTGTTGAAACCAATTTGCATAATAGAGTTTTGTTCAGCGGAATGGTGGTATCTGTCTTCGATCATGAATAATTTTTCTGAGAAAATCAGAATCCCAGAAAAGTTAAATATAACGGTTTAGAAAAAAGCCCAAAGATAATATGCGCTCTGATTAGTTTAAAATCGTTTTTCTATAACTCGATGAAAACAAAGGACTAGAATGAGCTGTTGACGTAATGATAGAGCGAGCATAGAGATTATACATTTTGATGATGTGTGTGTTTCTAAAGAAATAGAAATAATAGCAATTAATATTTAAGAAGGGTAGCTTCAAACCCACAGAAGCTCTATATTGCGAAACATGCAGCCAGGCAAGCAGACTACTAGTTGTCTGTAATAATCTGTGTATGTTGAAATTAATTTCTGTATTGTTGCGCCAGACCTGACCACGCCACAGATCACTTTGTCGTGAACATCACAACAAATCTGACCTCGGGGATGGTTTCGCAGGTGCCCCAAGATGGACCGGAAAGTGAATTGACTTTTGTCTTCCTCGGTGTCGTAGCAGGGACCGTGATGATGTTCCTCGCCGGAACATTTTGGGCATGGAGAAAAGACCAGAAAGAAAAGGAAATGGTAAGGAAATTCAAAGATACGTTAGGATACGCTAGATCGATATCTCAGGCATAGCATTGTTTCTAGACTTTTAAAAGACCTTTGAAAGTTTAGACTGGAACTTCATTCTAAAGGCTCTAGAGAGGTTTGGGTTCGGCGCGCCTTTAATACAATGGGTTAAGACTTTTTGCAACAACATCCAAAGCTGCGTTATTAATAATGGCTACACAATGCCCTTCTTTGAATTACAACGAGACGTTAGACAGGGGTGTCCGCTTTCCGGTATACTCTTTGTAATTGCTGTTGAAATTTTAGCAAATTCAATAAGAGATGACCACTCGATAATGGTATAAATATTAAGGGAAGGAGTGTAAGCTTTCAGAATATGCAGACGACACCTCCTGTTTCGTGCGCGACATAGATNATTCAATAAGAGATGACCACTCGATAATGGTATAAATATTAAGGGAAGGAGTGTAAGCTTTCAGAATATGCAGACGACACCTCCTGTTTCGTGCGCGACATAGATTCGAGAAATTAGAGACTTTCAAAAGGTGTTCGGGATTAGAACTAAGCAAAACAAAAACGGAGGCAATATGGTTGGGAAAAAACAATCCACAACCCACAAACCTCTTTGGCATTAACTGGCCCCCGAAGTGTATGTGTCTGGGCGTTTGCTTCTCCCGCGACTCAGAAATATCCGCAAAAGATAATTTCGAAAAAAGATTGCTTGCTCTAGAAAAATGTCTTAACATCTGGTCGTCAAGAGATCTAACACTGTTCGGGAAAATAAACATTGTCAAAAATTTAGCTCTTTCAGTTTTTATTGCCTCTGTTCTCAGCGTACCCAGTGGATTTGTTGACCAAGGGAGTAAGCTTCTTTCTAGCTTCGTATGGAACCACAAACCGCCTAAAATCAAGTATTGGACAATGATTGGTGAGATTAAGGACGGCGGACTTAATATGCCTGACTTTGAAATTATACATAAATCTCTGAAGGCAGGTTGTGTGAAACGGTTTCTTAATCCTCAAACGCAGTCCTGCACACTCCTACAACAAAGAAAGAAATAGAAAATGAGATCTTATGTAATAACCATTTCATTACAATCGGCGGAAAATCCATTTTTTTTATCAACAATGGTATAATGCGGGAGTAAAGACCCTATCGGATATTCTGGACGAAGAAGGAAATTTCTTTTCCTTTCCTGAATTTAGGAAGAAATATAAAAAAAAAAACAAACTTTCTACGTTATTTTGGGTTGTGCAACGTCATTCCAAAGTACTGGAAAGAAGCCTTTAACTGCGTTTCTTGAAAACGAATCAGTTAGCACAGGACAGTCGACACACCCTTTAAACATATCATTTTGGACTTGTCAGCAAGCACGCTCGCTATACGTCCCAAAAATGTTCCGAAAACTTACATCCAAAGCTCGTCTAATTAAGGCCGGTTTTACTGATCGGAGCATCGCGGCGTTACACATTCTCCCGTTTAAAGTCACCAAAAGCATGAAACTCTCGATATTTCAATTCAAAATAAACCACCACATTCTTTACCCTAGCGACAAACTTTTTAGAGCTAAAATTATTGAAAATGATGAATGTCGATTGTGTGGTTTAAGACAGACCCTAGAGCATCTGTTTGTAGAATTTCGGCACGTCCATTCTTTCTGGAACCTTCTTACCTCTTGGTGGACTTGTAACTTGCCCATGGTAGCTCTGACGAACAAAACAAACCCCGAGAAGCGATCCCTCCGCGCTGTCAACCTTTTCCATGATAGTACCCCTTACTACATCAAAACTGCAGCCAAAGAAAGTGAACCCTACAGTATAACAGCGTTCAAATTATTGCTAAAAAGCAAACTATACACGGAGTCACCAAGCGTTCGAGCATCCGTGAGCCTTTAGATACTTAAAGTATAGCATGCTATTGATTTTATATGTAATAAATGTCAAGTGTAAGTAAAATGAATATTGTAAGCTACGGTATTGTGAACAGTATCAGTAGTCGGTAAATTACGATAGTATTGTGAGTAGTAGTAGTAACGTAAGTAGCGGTTGTATTGTAAGTAATGTCAGCAACGTTGTCAGTGATATTAGTATTGCAAGTAATGTAAGTACTGTTGGTAATGTCAGTATTGTAAGAAGTGTTAGTAGTGTAAGTAATGTTAGTGTTATATGTAATTAATTTATGATTAAAAAAGAGATTGCTGCGTTTTCAAGAAAAAAAAGGTAAATCACTCATAAATAAAGAAAATAAAACTGGACTTAAACCATAAAAAAGGAAATTAAAAGAGAACGTGGCAAGATTTTAATACTTGCTCTAATTTTGCCTGCTGTGCAGCGAGAAAACATTAACACTCATAGCGTTTCGCAGGAATCTCTAGGAAAAAAAAAGATCATCTGATCTTTTTAATGATTCAAGTTTTCTGTTTTTTAACAAGCCACTCTCGAAATATTGAAATTCTAATTTAACATTGAGGCTAAAAGACCAAACCGAGAAAAATCATTTATTCATCCCTCAACCTCAAGCTTCATGTTATAATTTTAACATTTAGAACATAGCTTATATATTTTACATTAAAGCCTTGAAACGTATTAAAATTGGTCAAGTAAAATTTGTGTTCGAACAGACATAAACAGTAAGGCCGTAGAGGTTATAAATTTCAATACGCCATATCTCCAAAGGAAACCGGACTAAACATTAACATTGTATTTCTTTCTTCATAGTCTGGTACCACAGTGATCCCACAGCAATCTTTTCACCGCTGTCCACAGCACTACTTGCTCATGTTCTACACAGGATCTGGTCGGCACAGTGCAACCACTGCAAATGTGTTTTGTCGTATCTATGGAAACCACCGCAAGACAAAGCCCATCATTTTGCGTGATCCCGACCGCCAAATGTTTCATCCTTCTTCTATCAGTTCCTTCCTTGTGACACTGAACCTCTCTTTGGACCAGATACGAAAAATTCACGTGTGGCATGACATTTCAGGTCCAGATCCGCCATGGTTCTTAGAGAGTGTCGTAATTTGCCATTTAAACACTGACGTCACATGGTATTTTGAGGTAAACCGCTGGCTTGACGTCAGTACAGGTTCAAAGGAAGTTGAATGCAAATTAAAGCCCTTAAAAAGAAAGACAATGCTGAGAGTAAAAACCATGTTTGCTGCTAAAATTGTGGACAATATAAAAAACAGGCATCTTTGGGTCTCTCCTTTATGCAAACGCAACAGAAGAACGTTCAGTAAATTCCAAAAATTGTCTTGCTGCCTTGCGGTCACTGGATTGACGATATTAATAACAGCAGTGTTGGTTCATACAACTCAAGACTTGTTTTCTTATTCGTCAGTAAGGGTGGGACCTTGGAAATTGAGACTTGGTGATATTTATAGAGCTCTCATTTGCAGTGGAATTGCTTTTGTTTATCGTATTTTGCTAGAGATTCTTTTCGTAAATTCAGGGCCAAACTCCTTATTACAAGCCGACGACAAGAATGTGCAAGGTTACATAGAAGACAATTTTGAAAAGCTAAATAAAATAATATTTGTGGACGAAACTAATGACGCTGATTGTGCGTCAAATTGCGAGAAAGAAAACGTGTCGAGCTCTGACACGTGTGACATAGAACTAGAATTTGCAAATTCCGAGGAACTGAAAGCTGGGAACGCAGATGCAGATCCATTCCATTTGGACAACACA